TATTGGTGCTGCTGGCGCAGCTCGGGCCGCAGCCCGGGCTGGGCCGGCCCCGAGAGCGTCTCCGCGTGCGGTTCACCCCGGCCGTGTGCGGCCTGCGCTGCATCCATGGGCCCACTGGCTCCCGCTGTACCCCGACTTGCGCGCCCCGCAACGCCACCAGCGTGGACAGCGGCGCGCCCGGCGGGGCGGCCCCGGGGGGACCCGGCTTCCGCGCCTGTGAGTGCGGGGTGGTGGTCCCGAGGGAGGGGCTCCCAGTGGGAGGAGGATCTCTAGGGATGGGGGAGATTGTCCCCAGGGAGAGGGAGCCCAGATTCCGGTGTGCAGTAGTGACGGGGAATCCCTGAAATACTTAAGGAAAGGAACCCCAAATTCCTGGCTTTGGGGATTGGCTCCTGAGGGTCCCGATTTTGCAAGCGTTGAGGGTTCTCAGGGACCTGTGGTCCCACGTGAGGGGATTGGGACCGGCTTTCAAGCCTTTGAGCCAAAGTGGTATCTCAGAATTGAGGGGCCTCCGAACTTTTGGAAAAGGCACCCAAATTCTGAAGCCGAGTAAGGGGTCTCCAGAGACCAAGGGAGAGAGTTTCAGTGTCGAGTGGGGCGGGGGGAATGTCTCCGTTTCTGTATCTTTGGATGAGAGGAATTGGGAGAGTTCCACACGAGAGCGCCTGTGAGAAGGACTGGAATTGAGGAAAGTTGATCCAGATAGCCCGGAAAGGGCCCAGAGAGGAGAGGGGGTTCTCTGCAAGACCTGCGTTGCAAGGGTCCCATGTGCGAGAGAAATTCAGACAAGAGGCTTAGGGGAAGGGGCGCCCCCTGGGGGTGGAAGGGACAGGAGTGTGCGCGCGAGATACCCGTAGAGATGGGGAGCCCTGGGGTTCAGGTGAGGTGGGGAGGGTATGCCACCTGTTGTCCAGGGTACAGCGGTGGGCAGGCTCTCCGGGGTTGGGGCTTCCCTGCCCCCCACCCCTCAGGCCCTCTGGAGTGGGGAGTAGGGGCCCCTGGCGCCAAGAACTCGCCCAGCCTGGCCCCCAGCCAGCCCAGCCCCGGCCGGCGTGAGCTCATCTCCCGCCTGAGCCCCCGCCCGCTGCCACTCCCTCTCTCCTCCCCTTCCTCCCTCCCTCCATTCCCTCCCGGCTCAGCCCCAACGAGCCCATGCCAGGCGCCGTGCCCAGGCGGGCGCCAAGCCCCTGGAGGCACAAGAAGCTGTATGTGAAGAGGGGCTGACCTCGGCGGGACCCCAGTGTCCTCAGCTCCTTTTCCTCCAGGGGTGTGAGGCATGGAGTTGGCCTGCTGTCTAGCAGCTGGCCCGGTGTGGGTGCCCTCAGGGAGTTGGCCCAGGGGTCCTGCATTCAGGCCAAGAAAAGGCAGAGAAATGCCCTTGGAGGCTGGGACAAGCCCCCAGACCTGGCTGGGTATCCACTACCTCCATCAGAGACCCTTTCCATTTTGAATCTTGATTCCTAGTTAAGCCTCTCCTAGGCTCCGCCACCCAATTAAATACCCCTGTAGAGCACGCTGGAGTCCTGGCCTGACTCTCCCAATTAGAGATCAGAGTCTCTGTCTCCTGACCCTAAGTGCTGACCTGGCCCTTGTCAGACTCCAGAGACTAGCTCCTCCAGTGAAGTTCCCTCCCATTCTGCTGCGGTAATCCCCCCTAAACTGTGCCCCTCACCAGAGAACTCTATCCTATCATCCAGTCCCTCAGCTACCTTGCTCCACTTCTAAACCCCAGGTTAGAAGCTCTGTACAACCATAACTCCCCTCCCCAGCTGAATTGTCTTTCCACAAAAAGCTCCCATTTCCAACTAAGCCTACCCCAGTCCCTCAGAGATTCCCAATTTCTGTCTTTCCGAGTCCTGCTTTTCCAGATGGCCCCCTCCCCAAGACCTTCTGATTCCATCTTCAGAGAATGGTCTTGATCAGCCGATTCTTCCAAGAGGACTCCAGACACTGTGCTGACTGCAGGCGGCCATGACGAAAGACTTGGGAACCTAATCTCTTACATGTAGTGGTGGGGGGAGGGTTGCAGTCTTAGGGTCCCAGCCAATTAAGGTTCTTTTGTGCTGAGGACGTCCAGGACTTCCACTTCTCCATCTAAACCCTGTTCTCAGCACTCTCAAACTGGTCATCCCCTAGAAAATAGAAGTCTTATTTTCTAGGTAGCTCTCCCCAAAAGGACTTGAGGGACGCCTTCCATTGAAAAGGCTCCGCGGTTTCCTCTGAGTTAGGCTCCCTCTATATTCCAGAAACCTTGAGCCGATTTTGAGCCCTCTAGCTGATCTCTTCCCAGGACTCTAGTTCCCTTACTCTCTTAAACCGAGGTGGCTCCTCTGTGCTCTCCCCTTTACGGTTGTAGATTGAGTTCAGAATCTCCTAATACACGCCTCTCTCCCCTCCGCACAGCTGTCTCCAGCTGTTCTCGGCAGCCCCGGGGGAGAAGGGGAGGGGGTGCTCTCGCAGGACGCGTCCGGCCTCCTTTGGCTCATTGGTCCCGGAGCTCCCCAAGGGTCCCGAATGTGGAGCCACCGCCCTGCCCCCGCCGCACCCCTCTTTTTGTTTACCCCGCAGCACAGCTGGCAATGCCCCGCCCAGAGGTGGCCTGGGCCTAGAGAGGGCGCACTGTGAGGAGGCGCGTCCTCGCTCTTGGCCCCACCCGGATGCTACTGGAGGCGGGCAGGCGGAGTAGAACTCCAGAGTCCTAGCTAGAGGGGAGGTGGGCGGGGCTAGGGAGCCTGGAGAGCCTGGAGGTGGGGTTGGAGGGGCGTGAGTGAATGGGCGGGGGCAAATCAGAATAAGGAAGAGGTGGGCAGGGCCAAAGGATAGCCAATTTAAAGCCTCGATGGGGCGGAGCTTAGGATCCGCGAGTAGAAGGTGATGTGGGGCGGGGCTAGGAAGGGACGATTGGCCAGTGGGCGGGGCTAGAACGTTGTGGACCAGGCCAGAGGGAGTGTGGGCGGGCCTAGAATGCAAAGGTTACCTAGCTGGGAACGGCGAATTGTCCCATTAAGTGGCTAAAAGGAGATTTGAGTCAATGGAAGAAACCAACTCTGGGTGGGCGTGGCTAGCTGCTAAGGACGATGTGGAGTGGGAGGGGCCGAGCCACTGGGCTAGGACAGTGTTGGGCCGCCCTTCCGAAAGGGGGGGGGGTCA